AGACATTTAATTAAAACCTTACTGAAGTTAAAAAATTTAACATAAAGTTTTGTCATTTGCGAAAGATTACCTGGAATTCCAAAAGGAATAATGGTGGTGGGGACTCCAAATCAAATTTTAGATTTCTTCCGTTCTCACAACTGATGCGGTTCCTTACGTATTGACAAAAGGCGACCTGGCATTCCAAAAGGAATAATGGTGGTGGGGACTCGAAATCAAATTTTAGATTTCTTCGGTTCTCACAACTGATGCGATCCGTTATGTATGGACAAAAACGACCTGGAATTCCAAAAGGAATAATGGTGGTGGGACTCCAAATCAAATTTTAGATTTCTTTGGTTCTCACAACTGATGCGGTGCCTTACGTATTGACAAAAACGACCTGGAATTCCAAAAGAAATAATGGTGGTGGGGATTCGAAATCAAAATTTTAGATTTCTTCGGTTCTCACAACTGATGCGGTCCCTTAGGTACTGCCTAAAGAGGACCTGAAATTCCAGAAGGAATAATGTGGTGGGGACTCCAAATCAAATTTTAGACTTCTTCGGTTCTCACAGCTGATGCCGTCCCTTACGTACTGACAAAAATTTCAAAAAGAAATAATGGTGGGAACTCGAAATCAAATTTTAGATTTCTTCGGTTCTCACAACTGATGCAGTCCCTTACGTACTCACAAAGGCGACCTAGAATTCCAAAAGTAATAATGGTAGTGGCAAGGTTTTGAAAATCAGATTGGATTGATCGGTCAAATTGATACCGGTGATTTAAATGGTTCGATTACATTTTTTAAATCGATAAATCACTTGAAACCACTTAAACTATTCAACCGAACGGTTCAATATTGAGGTATAAAATCTTGAAAAATTTGCCTCCGACGGGATTTAAACTTGCAACGTTAGAGTCATTATGTTGATCCTTTGCCACCAGGATGATGCCATCCTTTTAATAAATGGGTGCTTGGATTTTTATTTAACCCATATAAATCTAAAAAATTTTACCCATAAAAATTTACTATTGAGGAGACTTGAACTCCGGATCTCTTTTACAGAAGATCAGCAATTTATCAGTGCAATTTACTGTATGATATCTTTTGTAAAATTATATATTTATAGTATTTGATTAAGTCGATGGTTTTATTGATTAAATTAATTAAACCGTTTAAGCCACAAACAAAAAATCAAAACAGTTTGGTCTCCAATTCAGATTTGAAAACATTGGGGGGTGGGGACTCGAAATCAAATTTTAGATTTCTTCCGTTCTCACAACTGACGCGATCCCTTACGCACTGACAAAAGGTAACCTGGAATTCCAAAAGAAACAATGGTGGTGGGAACTCGAAATCAAATTTTAGATTTCTTCCGTTCTCACAACTGACGCGATCCTTTACGTTGATATCAGTATATGTTCAGAGATGTTTACAGTGATTTGATTTAAATTTTAATATTTTTTAAATTAATTTAAT